ATTTTATTGTGTCATTAATAATTATTCTCTGTTTTCTTTCTCACAGGTGAAAAAGGGTCAAGATGCTCCAGTTTATGTCATCAACCTTCTTGTCTCTGATCTCATTCAGTTCTGCTGCAGAATTCCAGTAGATCTATATAATCCTGGTCTATCCAGTGCCATTTGCTCTGACATTTTATATCATGCTTTTATGGTCAGTGTCGGATTCATGGTGTGTATCTCCTGTGAAAGGTGTGTTTCCATTTTTACTTCTCTTCTTTCTCATATAATCACATCAGTCTGTTCTTCATGACCTTCAGGGACTAAACATCTCCATCTGTTATTGCAGGTATCTGGTCATTACCAAGCCACTGTGGTACAGATTCAGGAGAAACATCAAGACATATGTGGTGGTCTGCATTGTGGTCTGGATACTTCCACTTCTTTTTCTGCTATTTGCTTTTCTGACTCTAGGTGTTCAGATGGCTGCTTTCTCCCTCATAGTTGTTCTCATCCTGCCTTTTCCCTTGTTCATCTTCTTCCTGGTTGGGACTATCAAAGCTCTCTCTGGAGCTCTCAGTGTCCCAGCAGATGAAAAACGACGAATAGCAGCCATTCAGGTTGTGGTGCTGATTATTTACGCTCTGCTTTATCTGCCCATCATCATCATTGTGCTTCTACAAGTCATTGGAGTATTACATAGTGGACCTAGCATTTTTTCTATTGTTGTGGCTTTGGTATGTATTTTTCTTAGTCCTCTTGCAGACACAACTCTGTATTTGTTAAGTCGGAAAAGCATCATGGATAAATTTCTGGCTTCAATCTGTTCTTGTAAAACTTCTTCCAATCTGGAAATGAGCAGCACAGATCATGACAGCAGAACTGGTACAAATACTGAGACTGTTTAGGTTTTAATGTTTGTTATGGTGCAAAAGAGCCTCAACAATAATCAGTTTGTTGTAGCTGCTTTTTGGATCGACTAGCAAAAGGGACACATTTTTTTTAAATGGTTCATAAAAAATATTTTCTAAAAATTAAATGTAAGAAATCTCTGATTTAAGTGAGCACTTTGAGCATTTTTGCCTCAGTTCATTTGTCTTTCTCTTTAGTCATTATTTTGTCATTTATATCTTCAGAAAGTCGTCCTTAAAATTAATTGGTTCAAATGTTGAATATATACTTTTTTTTTTCTTTTTGCTGATCTTGTTACAAGTTATGCACTGTTATATTTTCCCTGTAACTATTTCAGTTTCATGGTGGATCTGTTGATAATATGAAAACTATGATGGCTTACAGGAATGAAAATTATTGCAACATTATTATAATTATGTTTGAAATCAGAATTTCTGCTAAATCACCCACATTTAATCATGAGTGTATTTTTTTAAATGTGTTTTCCTTTATTTTTTTTCTGCTTAAGCAAACATACATAGTAATATGTGCATTACTTCATGTTCACTTGCTAGACTTAAAGCTGTAGAAATAATGGTTTTAGTTGTTATTTAGCTGTGGTTTATTTTCTTATGTCAACTTTTTAATGTCAGTTTGTTATAGATTCATGTAAACAAGTTGTACGTCTGTGTGTTTTTATTCTGCTTTATAATTAATGATAACTAGAACTTTGGAGCATCTCCAGGTGAGATTATAAAATGATTTGCTGTTTGATTATCATATATCAGATTCTCAGTTACATATCTAGACTCAAAACCTTTTTGCTTATTGTGACCAAGAAAAAAAAATGATTCCAGAAAGTGAGTCCAGCTCTGCAGGCCATCAAATATGGAGTTGTTCACTGATAAAGACTGCTGCTTTATGATTTGACATAAGTGACAGTTAAACATGATGATGCTAAATATGGAAAACTGCAAGAGACAAAGTGACTAGTTCTTTGTGAATCTGTAGGAAACTCTTTACTAGCTTTTATTTCCACCAGATTGTGTTCACCTGTCTGCACCTTGTTTATAATAAAATCCTCTATTTTTAATCTCACACTGACATATAGTTTGAATGTCAGGATGTGTGTGTCGGCAGACAGAAGCTGGGAGCATGGACCATTTTGAAGAAACAGGAAAGTAAACCCAGATTTCTTATTAAATTCATAAAACTAGAATCTGAGATCCGGAGACGAAGGAGCAGAGACGTGGGAGGCCCCGAAGACGGAGGGACCCACAAAACGATGGTTGAATAAACATTGATACAGTATTGATATAATATAAGTTATGGTCGAAAATCTAACATTGACTCAACATGTGAGGTACCGACCAGATTTTCTATAATTTCAATGTCAGGTTTCAACAAGGATCCAATATTTCTGTCTGAACATGTTTCAGCATTGATTCACTCATATGTTGCTGTCTGGGTTGTGATGTCAGCACATCACACCAACACAGCCTGAAGCTGCCCTGCTGACTGACTCAACCTGGACAACTTTCCATAGATGTTTAAATCAGAAATTCTCCTTTCTGACAACAAATGTTGAAAACCTCAAATCAGCGATTAGTGACCATCACCTCTGAAAGGCTCAAAAAAATAAAGTAAATATTCTAGAAGTTAAAGTCTGCACTGAAGTGGGAGTTAAAATTTGACACTAAATAAACTGTTTTTGCTCAAACTCTTTCCGTAGGAGCTAAATTAAACCAGTTTTGCAAAAAGCCAAAAATTCTCCACAAAGTTTTCAAAGAGTGGCTCAAACATATATCAGATTTACTTTTTCACATGAAGTTAGTTAAATCATTCATTTAAAAACTGATTCAGCAACAAAGTTTAATGATCTGAAACATTTAGTTGCCAAAAAAGCAAAAGTGTCTTTAAGGGTTAAATACTTATTCTTTACCCATGAAATGAGTTGAACAGAATTTGAACTTTAGACACATTTTCTTTTTCAGGTAATATTTTCAGAAACCGCTGGTGTTGTTGTTCTTTCTGTCGTAATCATATTCCGGTGCTTTTTATAAATTTCCTCAGAACAGAGGCAGATAGTTTGTCGCTTCATCTCCTGACTCACTTTGACTGGCAGATCAAATTTAGCATCAAGATCAAACTTCTCAGAAATATTTGCACAAATGTGCTTGGCTGTTGAAATGACAAGGAAAATAAAACTTATTTTTGTTAGAATCAGACTGAAATGTTTAAAGTTACAATAAAAGATTGTATGTTTTATTTTGTGTTTGTGTGATTAATATTTACTGAAAACTGAAGTTGCCACTGGTACTTTGTTAAAGGTTACAATG